AGTAAGTATTCACAGAACCCAAGAGGGGAAGGAGTGACATTTTAAGTTCTCAGGTGTCTTTGGCTATTTTTGAGAACATAGAGAATATGGGGAAGCCTTTGGATTTGTGATTCCGTGGTTAGCTTTCAAAGAAGTGACTTAGTAGGTTGTAGGCTGCTACATTAGGTTACTAGGAATTAAGTGCAGGTTGTTATTTTTATAAGAAGTTGAAGAAAGGAGTGGTGAAAAAATGGACAGTTGCTTAAGAGAACACAGCAAGCACACAGCATTCTGTACTTCTAAGGTATCAGAATTTCAGGTGGTTTTCTTTTTTTTTTAAGATTTATTTATTCATAGAGAACTGGGGTACAGGCCAGAGATGCGGAGGGTGAGAGGATTCACCAGAGACAGTGTGGGGAGCAGAACAGGCAGATTGATGAAGTACACTGCTGAGGGGAGCAGCGGGCGGGTCAGGGGAGGTCTGCCACGCCATGTGGTCATCTCCGGGGCAGGTTGGGATCGAACTCAGCGGAAGTGGCTTTAGCTTCTTAGTGCTGTGCTTTAACCCGCTGCGCCACCAGGGAGGGCCTCAGGTGGTTTTTTTCATTGTCTAAATTCTTACATTTCCATCCATGAGTGCCTTTTAAATACTCTGTGTGATAATGGGACAGACCCATATAATTTGCCTGCTGCTTACCAAGTAAAATGGTTCTGTCAAGCAAAAGCATTTTGGGGCTATTTGAGTTGTGAACTGAACTATTGCTTTTTTCATGAAACATCATCTTTTAATAGAAAAACTAGATTTCTCAGGGGAAGGATTCATTGGACATATTCTTGAAGATGAACAGTATGATTCTGTCTTCAAGAAAAACAACTGACAATATTTGTTGTCAGTGAGCAGCTTTGAGCTTTAAAGCAAAACTTAAACTTGAAAATCTGGTGTTTACTGCTTGAGCATAACCACACTTACCCCAAATTTAAACATTTCTGATGAGATCAGTGGTAATATTAACAATTACTATTTTATTTATTTGGTACAATGAAAAGTCTCCATAACTCATTGGTAATATCTTCCCAGTGACCAAAGCAGAATATTGTTAGTCACATATGGACACAAATTCCGTTCAGAGGCAAGATAGAAAAATGAAATAACACAGTATGAAAAATGTATTGATACTGCTTGAGATTCCATATTGCTACTTAAGAAACTATCTTTTCAAGTTTTTGAATAGTATCAAAGAATATCTGTAGCTGTCTTTTTCCAACTATGTATCTGCGTGAAGCCAGATTTTCTCATATGCTTCAACTAAAGCATTGCCTTACATTGAATACACAAGTATACATGACTCCAGTTCAGTAGTATGAAACCAGACATTAAAGAAATGTGCAAAACTGGAAATATGTCACTTTCCTCACTAAGTTTTCTTTTAGAATTTTTGCTTCATAAAAGGTGTTATTTATAATGTCATGCATTTTGTCATCTAAAGATGAATTGGTAAATATTCTTCCTCCATTTTAACTTATAGTATCAATAGCTGCAGCCCACATAAGTAAAAGTTCCTTGGAATCCTTTTATTTTAGGAGTGTAAAGGAGATCTGAGAACAAAAATTTAGATTTACTGATCTCAAGTATTATTTAAATGCCAAATTAAGCATTTTTAAATTCACCCAGTCCAAATGTTTATAAAATTTTAACTTTATTATTAATTTTTAATTTTCTTAATGGTTTTCTATTATACAGTTAACTGCTTTTTCCGTTGAAGGTTATGGTAAATGATGGCAAATAATTTGAGGACTTTTCTAGGAATGTTTGTCATACTATAATAAAAGAAAATTAAAATTAAAAGCGTAAAGGTCCTGATGACAAATTTACACATAGAATGTCCCCATGTTAGCCTAATAAAATATTTACTATTTTAAGATCCTGTCATTTAAATGCAAATGTTGTGATTCTTTTTTAGAATGTTGCCTTATGGTTGTCTGTCAATTGGAGATTGTGTGGGACTTATTGAGGTGGTGAGAAATTCTCACACTATTATGCAAATTCAGTGCAAAGGTGGCCTCAAAGGCGCACTACAGTTCAACAGCCACACACTACATCAGTGGCTCAAAGACAAGAACAAAGGAGAAATGTGAGTTTATTGTGTTGATCTAAATTTTTGTTAGAAAAATCTTTGAATGCTTATGTATGCTTCTGTGAGTTAGATCACAGAAAACAATTGTACTCTGCTTTGAAAAATATCAACCTTTGAAATATGTGAGATTATTGTGTTTAGATGATCAGAATTGCTTATAACTTGGAAAAACTGTACCTCCAACTTTTGTATCTAAAATGTGTTTTTTCTTATTGCTATTCTTTCTCTCAAAATTAGCACTGCACATACAGAATTTTACTGCTTATTCATTGTTAAAATAATTATAAAAATTCATTTTAATGACATAAGTGATTTTTTTCACTGTAAGAATTATGCTTTGGTTAGCAAATGTCTGAAATTTCACTAGAAACCTTGGAAACTTCAGAGTCAACAAAATTCCTCAGATCTTGAACATAATTGCACAGTGCTCTAATCCAGTGGTTGTTTTCATTGTTTAAATACATCTTGTCCCATTTGGCACTGGAGCACTCTGTATTTTCCTCATGGTGTCTGTTTCTCCTTTGTAGATACGACGCTGCCATTGACCTGTTCACACGCTCATGTGCTGGATATTGTGTCGCTACCTTCATTTTGGGAATTGGAGATCGTCACAATAGTAACATCATGGTTAAAGATGATGGACAAGTAAGTTTTCTCCTTTTTAATGTTTGGCATTTTTTCATTTATTGTATTTCTGCATTTGTGAAACTAAATTTCGTATTTTTGAAAGCTGTTTCATATAGATTTTGGACATTTTCTGGATCACAAGAAGAAAAAATTTGGTTACAAACGAGAACGTGTGCCATTTGTTTTGACACAAGATTTCTTAATAGTGATTAGTAAAGGAGCCCAAGAATGTACAAAGACAAGAGAATTTGAGAGGTAAGCTTAAGAGATCAAAAGCACAAAATAAATAATTCCTGCTGCTCTATCAAAGACAACTGATGTTTATGAAGCAATTTAAAATGATAGATATGTTATTGTTAGACTCAACTAAACATATATTTTTTAATTTATTGTATAATACTATAAAGGAAAATAGAAACAAAAACAAATGTAATTCATTGAGTTAACTAGGAATTAACTAAACAGGAGTTATCCTTAAATGTCATAATACTTTAAAAGTTTTTATTTATTGTTTTTTTAAATAATTGGGCTCACCTTCACCACTTTACTATATTAACAAATAATATATAGCGCTTAAGGCAGTACTTCTTATTTATACAATTTGAGGAATTCAGTGAATTGTAATTACCATTTTCAATCATAATTTCTCTTAACACTTATGCTTTATCATTAGTCTAGCCTAAACCTTAAAGTACTTTTTAAAACCTTTCATAAATATTATTTCGTCTGTGACTCAGTTCTGGCCCAGGCCTAAACCCTAAAGGCTTTAGTATGAACCAGTTCATATTTTCAATAAATCCTTATTAAACTCCCTTTAGAGATATTGCTTGGTGATGAAGCTGTAAATGAAGTCCTTACTGGCTCCCAGAACATACTCTGTAGTGTGGAGCAATTGGATTAGACGTATCGCTAAGGAGAATGAGAAGGCTACTGTTTTTAAAAGTTTGTCTGGGAAGGCCCGTAATGATGTTACTATTGAGCAGAGACCTGAAGGTGTTAATGCCAGTTGCTCCCTACTGACCAAACTGTTCTTATTAATTGTAGGTTTCAGGAAATGTGTTACAAGGCTTATCTAGCTATTCGGCAGCACGCCAATCTCTTCATAAATCTTTTTTCAATGATGCTTGGCTCTGGAATGCCAGAACTGCAATCTTTTGATGATATTGCATACATTCGAAAGACCCTAGCTTTAGATAAAACTGAGCAAGAGGCTTTGGAATATTTCATGAAACAAATGAATGATGCACATCATGGTGGCTGGACAACAAAAATGGATTGGATCTTCCACACAATTAAGCAGCATGCTTTGAACTGAAGTGATAACTGAGAAACTGAAATCTCGCTATCTGGATTCTATACTGCACTGTTAATAACTGTCAACAGGCAAAGACTGATTGCATAGGAATTGCACAATCCATGAACAGCATTAGAATTTACAGCAAGAACAGAAATAAAATACTATATAATTTAATAAAACGCAAACAGGGTTTGATAGCACTAAACTAGTTCATTTCAAAATTAAGCTTTAGAATAATGCGCAATTTCATGTTATGCCTTAAGTCCAAAAGGTAAACTTTGAAGATTATTTGTATCTTTTTTTTAAAAAACAAAACAAAAAAATATCCAAAATATATAGAAATGACGGAGAAGGAAAAAGAATGATGTTCTCTTTTTGTCCTGCAAGTGTTCTATGTTTTGAAATGTGGACATAACAGTCTAATACTGGGTTAGGTCCAACTAAACTGGAGTTTGGTGTTAAATTGCATTAAGATTAGAAAATAATGAAATTTCTTATTTTTCCATTGCTGTTCAATTTATAGTTTGAAGTGGGTTTTTTGGACTCCTTGTTTAATGAAGAAAAATGCTTGGGGTGGAAGGGACTCGAGATTACACCAGAGACTTTTCCTTTATAATAAATCAAACCTTTTGATGATTTGGGGTCTTATCTGCAAAGTTTTGAAAGCAGTCACAAATGAGACCTATTATAATGTGGTGTTTTGGGTTTTGTTTTTTTTTTTCTGGACAGTATTTACAAGAATCTGATTCTTATTTCCCAGGGAAATTCTGGGCTCCCACAAAGTGAAATAATCATCATAGAGAAAGAATGAGCAGGAACAGTTCTTGCTCCAGAATTGTACAATAGTCACATTAGGTTGATTTTTTTTCTCTCCTTTTGCAATTGAATACATTTTTCATGCATGTTTTCCAGAAAATAGAACTGAGTATTAATGTTATTAAAAAGATTATTTTTTTTATTAAAGGCTATTTATATTATAGAAACTATCATTAATATATATTCTTTATTTACATGATCTGTCCCATAGTCATGCATTGTTTTGCACCCCAAATTTTTATTGTTCATAGCAGCATGGTCAGCTTTTCTCTTGGTCTGTGGGTGAGGCTCAGGCACCATCCCATTTATACCTAGTGTGTAACTAACTACTTAAGGAGAACAGATTAAAGTTTATCTCCTTTCCACTTACTTCTTTATGTTTTCACATAAATCCACCATCTTCCATCCTGTTTTATAGTTGAGAATGTGTCAGTCATATGAAATAGTTACCAAAATTAACACAACTTAGAGTATCTTCCTGATTGCTTAAATCCCTCTGTCGAGGTATGCTCATGAATAATACTTCATAATATGGGGGAATAGAAAACATGAACTTTTACCTTTTTAGGCTATTTATCCAATAGCTCAGTAATAAAAGTAGAACCTTTAAACTGTTTTAAGATCATGTTCCATTTCCAAGTGGTCAGGACTCACTCTCCAACTTTGTTAAATTGCATTTAAGCACAGGATACGTTTCTTAAACATTTTGAAGACATTAACCCAAGACATAGGGTCTAATGCTAGTCATCATTATAGAATCTGATATTTTACTCAGTATTTGAAATGAATGATTAATGTCTTAGTAAATAGCTTTAGCAAATGTCCAGGTGCCACACCAGAAAAAGTGCAATAATTTACTGACAGTTTTCTAGATTAGGCATATTATCGGAATACTTTATAAAAGTGCACATTGTATACTCTAGTAAAAACAGCATCACTTTAAAAACTATCCATTAATGAAATCAGTTACCTATAGTAGAAGTCTTGAATTGTGAACAGGGGACTCTAATACAGATACTTTTAGTATTTGGCTATTTTAGGACCCTTAAAGGGCATCATTTTTGGAGATTTAGGTACTTCACTAAAGCCTGTATATAATATTGCCAACAAGAAAAATAAATTTGAAGATTAAAGGAACTTATTTCTGTAAACTGTCTTGGAATAATGAAGAGTTAAACTCCATTTTAAGTAGGAAACCAGAAAAATTCTTTTGCTGATACAGAAGATTTATTAAAACTTCATGATTAACATCTTGGGTCTTTTAGATATACTCAGTTAATCCACACTGTCCCAGTCTTTTCTGTAACAGGGATTGATTACAAGACAACTCAGTGAAATGGTACACAAGTCTGAAACATTGATGGAGGACAAAGAGATTTTAGAGAGAACTATGTTTTATTCCAGTGCCAAAAAGCCTTGTGCTTCCTTGCACAAAATTTATACAATTTTTATACTTTTCACCTCAATCCAGAGATATCTGTCCCCCCTTTCCCCTGGGACCTCTCCATCATTAAAATACAAAACACAAGCTTATTTCATCATTTACATTTATTTTCAAGTGTTGCCACAGCCAAATTAATGGTTTAAATAGTTATTATTTCATAAGTATATAGACAGTGATTTAATTAGAAACGAAAGTAAAATTTAAACCAGTTCAAGCAGAGCTTAAGGAAACTACCTTAAAAGTAAGGGACAAAAGGAAAGGCCATACTCAGAAAGCAAAGAACCAAAAAATTGAACTGAATGTGCACGGGTGAGGAGCATTTCAGATCAATGATCATACAGCCACTCTGGGTTTCAGTCTCCCAAATCAAATCCCGCAAATCAGCTACCTGACCATCCTTGTCATTAAATGTGGTATGTGACTGACTGTGGACTCTACAGTTTCATCTAGGCACTTGAGAAAAATTTCCTTCAATGATAGTTGTGGAGGAAAAAGAAAAGCAGGCTTAAAGAAAATAAAGCCTAATTTTGAACACATTTTAGCAAAAAATAATCAACTCTTTGAAAATCATGCTTTAACTTTTTAATCATTTCAGCTGTACAAATTGTTTATTTTGAAGATTTTAGACTGCTGTTAATTTGAAATCTGTTAATCATATTGTGGAATTTTTTTTTAAATATGTTTCTAATTGGATTTTTTAAAGATGAATGGAATTTGGTCACTATTTTAAAATAGAACCTAAACCTTTTGTGGTTCTTAGTGTCTTCTGTAAAACTTAGCATCAAAGCAATCAACTTTGAGGTTTTCCCTTCTAATCTGCTTTATATTACAAGCCCTTTAGGAAATGGGAACCTGATGAATATACAATGAATTGTAAAATATTTTAATGTGTAACTTTTTCAACTGTGAAAATATGACTATTGGTTTTTTGATGAAAACAGCTGCTGACAAAGTATTTTGTGTAAAGTGTAGTTCTTATTAATCAGGAAAATAATCAATGACTTGTATATACCCTTTGGGATTTTATTTTAAATGAATTCCTGATTTTCACATAGGTAAAACACAGTCCATCTGTATTCTTTTTTCCAATCAAAAATTGAGTTGTTTGGCATTGTTTAAAAAATATGAACAGCCTATCTTATTTTAAAGACATCATGGAAATTTCACAGCATATAAACTTGGATTTGTTTCTTCATGATTTTGTAAATCCATTTAATTTCTATTCTGACCAGTAGCCCATGCTTGCCAACTCTTTGAAGAAATTTAATTGCCAACATTATTTTAAAGCAAGCGGGTTAACTTTTTCTGAATATTGTAAGTTCCTTTTGTTTATATGTCTGGACACACTGCAGACCTGGGCTGGACCCACACCCTCAGAATCCACCTCAAAAATTGATTTTGATGTCAAAGACATCACTAAAATATTTCAACGTAAAGGCCATATGCGGTGTTAATAGATTGTGGTGCTTCTATTTAAAAGCAACTTTCATACTTCAGATGATTTTGAAGAGGGCAATGTGGAGGGACGGGGCAGCACAGGAGAGTTGTTTGAATGGACTGCATTCTTTATATCCATGCTGCTCACATGGGGCACTAAGAGAAGGCTGCAAGTTGTGAGACTATATTGTGCAAACCATGAGGGAATTAGCTTTTCATCAAAGATGGGATTGTGAAAGCTGAACTTTAAAATTCAGCAATTACAGGATCCTCAGATAATAATTCTTGGTGACAGAATAATACAGCTGGGCTGTTTTTTAAACTATAAGCAAACCATTTTTATTTTTTAACTGTTACATTAAAAATTGTAAATGTATATTACATACCATGGCCTGGGAAGCCTTTTTTCTTTTCTTTTAAAACTTGTTTTCACTTTCTGAAAAAGACTGTGGGGTTTAGCTGGAGATAGTGATGGTCCTGATAAAATTAAATCAGTGACACTATCTCAGGAGGTTAATAAGGGAAAAGATAAGTGAATCACAGTTGATGACTTCAGATTCTGACATCACAGACATCCTCAGAGGACTGTATTTTAGACTTACATAGTCAGCTGTCATGCCCTGTTTTTGATAACAGTGGCGATAGTAAAGGAATGTTCTTTTGGCTAAACTAAAATCTTTGCTGCAGTCATGTGGAAAGGATTATTCTGCCAGGAGGTTCAAGGTACTAGGCTCAGCATTTGAAGTTAGTTTTGTTCTCTCTCATTCATTATTAATGAAGTTGGTGTGTATATATTTGTACACATTTCTGTTTGCATATGCACTGCTTGCTTGACCTCGTCAAGAGACACCTCATGAACATCAAGGTTCTAAAATTCAGAAGAGTTTAGTTTTTATTGGGAATGTCCCAAATTTGGGGTGTTGGCTTTTAAGTCAGCTGGTCTCATTCAAATATTCCATTTGGTTAATGTTTTGCACTTCCTTTTTACCAGGGCAGCGCCATTTCCTTTGCTTTGTTTTAGGTATGTTAATATTACAGCCACACTTCTAGTATAAAGTAACCCTGATGAGCCTTCAAGAAATTTTCTGACTTAATTTTCACACAGCTACACACAGAGTGTCAGTTGGTGGAGGGAGGTGGACCAGGAAGTAAAATCAATCCATTGCACATTTAGTGGAGTTAGGTAACTAATTTTCACTACCAATAGGAGACCCCATTCTTCATGTTACTAAGTATGGGAGGGATTTTAATGCACTTTGTAAGCCAATTAAGTTTATGAAACTTACTTTTATCTGTCACTACAATGATTTTGTGGTTTTGCTAAGAGCCAGTATATTTTTAGGTGACTTGTATTTGTTAAACCCAAGCTAGCAAGGAGACTGAAAATCATCACTGTTTTACATTTTCTCAAAATATCACTCATAAGAGCAAACTCCTTAGTTGTTATATGAATTTACAAATTGGTCATCTTTTGATTTCTTTAAGAAAAAGCCCTTCAGATTTAATTTCTATTGCTAAAAAAGTGGTTGGAGAGGTTGGCCAATATCAGATTTTGGGAAATGTTTTTGGTTTTGGAAACTAAGTTTGAAAAACAATTAATGGTTTCCATGAGAGTTGGTCCTTGGACTTGGTTGAATAAAGTCTGAAAGTATATGTCCTTGTGGGGCATAGCATGACACTTGAATACCATGAGGAAGTGGCACTACAAAAAGAAGACTACTAATACAACATATGTCGACTTTGGAAGCTTCAAAAAGGAACTCCCATCAGTCTTCTTAGCCCCATTTATTGTAGCAAATCTATTTCTCTTTATTTTGTTATTCAATGAACTGAAGTCCTGTGGTGTACTGCATTAGTTAGGAGGAAAATGTTTTTAAATGTTCTTTTAATGATAGCCCGAAAAGTATTTGACACAGCAAGATGCATGTGTTACTGTGCTGAGGATATAGAATAATAGTGTCTCTATAAGACCTCTTCCCAGTCTTGCCGTCCTTGGCAAGACGTTTGGCCTGTGGCTGCACTTATTGTTTGTGCTCATCAGAAACTGTCAATGTCTGCTTTTCCTTAACTTTGCAGTCTGTAACATCACGCTGTTTATTAAAAAATAATAATAATAATAATTTTGTGTCCAACCAATCCTTAGTGTACTATATTTTAAACAAACAAAACTGTGATGATTATATGTTGCCATTTATTTTGAATACTTACAAGCGAACCTGTGTGACTAATCAAAATTTAACTGAATTTGAGTTCTTATCAATAATGACCAAGAATAATTATTGAAAACCCGAAACTATGATGTCTTAAAACCCAGTTTTTCGGCCCCAGTAAAGTGATTAGAGAAATAACCTGTTTAAATATTATCTTCCTTTATGCACAAAGAATTATATACTTGTATTTTAAGCAGAAATATATGTATACAGGTACACGTATCAATGTCTTTATTTTGGTGTGAATGCCTTTTCAGTCAGTTGAAGACCAAAACCTAAAAGTGAAGTTAGGTTAAACGCAAACTGATTTTGCTTTCACTTATCATAAGCTTTGTGAAAGAAGTCCAGATTTTTCTTTGACCACTTATGTACATGGGCATCAGTACTTAGCACTTCTAAGCAATTAACATGAAATAATTACTTAAGTTTTGTTTATTGGCCAAATCCATACACTTTAGGGTATGGTATCCTAACAAATTAATGATTTTAATGTGTTAGAAGAGTCTCAAGAATTTGTATATTGTTAAAGGGGTGTCAAACTTACTAAAAATAGAGAGGTTCCTTAATTTAAGAAAACTACTGAAATTCAATTTGCAGCATGATTTGATATGTGTTTGCATACATATGTTTCATTGCAAGGAAATCTTGGACAGGCAAAATAACTTTGTAACTTTGTAAACATTACTTCTAGACATAAATGCATATTATCTTTAGCCAAATTAAGGTGGAAAGGAATTCTGACCTGCATCACCCCATCATAGTCGCTACACTAGTTCTCCAGTGAAAGATAGCAAGGCTGAGTTTATTTATTTTTTTACCATGTATAAAAAATACACTAATGTGTACCTTTTATTTCCATAATTGCATATATAAGGAATATGCATGATGATGTGATATACAGTATCCATATACAAAACAGATGATTTACAACAGTCACACCAATGAGGCACATCACAGTCACTGTGTGCATGAGATGCGAGCTTGCAAATCTCTAGTATTCAGTACAGTATTATTGACATTAGTCACTAAGCTTCACACTAAGTCTCTACGTAGTTACCTTGTAATTGAAGGCCTTGTATCCTTTAACATCTCCCCAACTTTCCCATCCCTGGTAACCACCATCTGCTTCTAAGTGTCTTTTTTGATGCCACCTGTAAGTGAAATGCAGTATTTTTTCTTTTGTGTGTCTGGGCAGGGGACAGTAGCTATCTCTTCCCCGTACTGATTTCATTTCCTTTCATTTCATTTCATTTCATTTCTTTTTCTCCCAGAAGAGGGATAAAGTTGCCAAATATCAAAATTTAACAAAAGATGTTTCTTTTATCACTTCAGTCAGGTGCCAGGAAGTAAGCCAAGTGTCTCACTCTATCCTGTCCACTCCATAAATTAACACCACCAAAGAAGAGCTAATCTACATTTTATAGATGAGAAGAGAGGTGTGCAATTCAACTGAATTGCCAAAGGGTACATATTTAAAATTGTAATTATTGGCAACAAATTAAAGTAAATCCTACTCTGAGACACATGTTCTCCCAAATATTACAGTAAAAAGAGAAGAAACACCAAAATTGTTTATTACAGGTCAAGTCAACATTGTCTATTTAATTTTATTCAGTTTATTTGGTAATTGGTGACTTGAAATTAGTTCATAAAATGAAATCGACTTAGAATCAAAGTTTCTGGTATGATTACATATAAAAGAAAAGATGCTTCAAAAGTCAGAGTTTATTGTCCATGATAAGTTTTTTAACAAAATTTTAAGATAATTTGAGGCACATTGGTTTTCAGAAGTTTTCAACTCCTATCTTCAGTATAATTAATCTGGAAAGCATTTCTTGGGAGAGTCTTTGATTATTTAGTAGCCATGATTAACTGACTGAACTATTATTGTTAACATTCCATATGGGATTTTCCTACACTGTGGATTATCTGAAAATGTTAAATTCTAACAACTACAATTTCTTCCTATTTCAAAATACATTTCTAGTCATCTCGCCCATTCCCACCAGAATGTACACAAAGAATAAAATGAGCTTATAGAAAGTATAAATAAAGTGTTGCTGGAAGAAAAATTACATGGAACATGGCAAGGTTAAGCACAAATATCTCTAAACTTAGTGAATTTTCAGAGCAGAAGTTTTTTTCCTTTATCATCAGTTAGAAAATGTTAGGCCCACATTTTCTAAAATTAACAGATCATTATCTGCCTATAATGAATTAATGTTTTTGTTCTTCATTAAGGGTTTTTCTGAGAAACATTTTAATGCTAACTATCAAATTGCATAAACTAGGCAGATCACTGTTCAGGTTTAGATAAACTTATCATTTATTTCCTCATTGACAGCTTCTAGCCATAACTGAAATTAGATAAAATGCAGCTACCTTGAGCCCCCTTTGTCATGTGATAATAAAAAGTATTTCCTTGGTTCTTATGGAAATGGTGGAGGACTGTGGGTGTCTTGGTGGTGGGTGTGGTTAGTAACATACACCTCAAGGGTGTCATCCTGTACCTTTAAATCATACACAGCATTATAAACAAATGTCTCAATTTTTAGAATTAAGTAATATGAAATCTCATTTGAACCAGAAAAATATTGAGTAGAAAGGACAGTGAATGTGTATCTCTTTCTAGAATAAATAGAATGTATAGTACAGGGCTTTTCAGAATTTTTCTTTCTACATGAAATATCATACTTTAATTGCCTCTAATTGGTCAGTTAGCAATAAGGCATAAATAATTAGGACCTCCAATACAGAACTGCAGGTATCTGAAGGCCAGGACTTTAATTTGGCCACCACTTAAGGATACCTCTACTTCTTCCTTTGCTCCTTCCCACATTCAACAGTTTGAGTCGATGCTGTTCCATATAGGATACTTTGCCACCTACCTCATCGCTGTGTACCGAACTATATTTTTCACATAGTAGAGACAGGTACTGCGTTAATCTCACCATGCCAACAATCAGAGCGCCACCTAGCAGAGTCAGTGACGGCCAAAACAGACAGTGGAAGATAACCATTTGGTCATACTTGTTTATGAGAATGACGTCTTCGGGTTGTCTGTCTGGACTGTAGAAGCATGAAAAGGGGGTTCCATTTTTGTAGTCGAAGAATTCCTTTATGTCCAGAGCACTGTTGAGCAAATCCTTCCTATCTCGGTGGCATTTAGGTGTGTAAAAGCACTAGGAATATGGAGGAGGAAGAGGGATGAAGTCATGACCCCTTATACCAAACATTTAAACAAAAATTTTCAGTCTGAATTTAGCTTCAAATTGAAACTGTTAAGGGGGAGTTTCTATCTCAGAAGGTGCTAAAACCTATAGATTGTTCATGGGAAGGGTTGGCAGGAGGGCACAGTGACTTAGCCATTTCCAGGCACGAAACAGGGGTGTGGAAAGGAATCCTAAACATGTTTCAGAAGAGGTAGTGACCACATTCATAAAGATCATACTCCTCCCCACTTGCAGGTCCTCCATCTTCCTTAACAGCAATTCAATAAATCCATTTGGCCAATCAACAAATATTTATTGAGCTTTCTGTATGCTTTCCACACCTAGTACATAATGCCTCTATGGTCTGTGTCTGGTTTACCAATAGTGAAATCTTTCCCTAAGATTAGCATATTGAAGTTTTTACCTTAGGCCCACAGAGGGGGCCCTACATAGTCTGACACAATTCCTGGGAGGCGGAAGTGGGGGAGGAAGGAGCTCTATCAGTTGGTGAGTTTTTTTTTTTTTCAATATAATTTCAGGTTTTTACCACATCCACTAGATACCTGAGACACTATGCCAAGGCCTACAAAAATGTTTGAGACCTTAAAAGTAACGCATCAGGGCCCTCCCTGGTGGCGCAGATGGTTAAAACACAGCACTAAGAAGCTAAAGCATTTCAGCATGAGTTCGATCCCCGCCCTGTAGGTGATCTACATGGTGTGGCAGACCTCCCCTGACCTTCCTGCTGCTCCCCTCAGCAGTGTACTTTGTCAGTCAGCCTGTTCTGCTCCCCACTTTGTCTCTGGTGAATCCTCTCACTGCCCCTGCAACTCTTCCCTGCACCACAGTTCTGTATGCACAAATAAATAAATCTTTAAAAAATAATAATAATGCATCCAAAATAGAGTCCAGAAATCAACAGATGGAAATTAGGAGCTAAGTAAAAACAACAAGGTGTAGAATGTCAACTAACCTGGTAAAACTCAAGTTCATCATACGGTGGAAATGTAAACTTTCACTCATATGAACCATTGAATAACTGGTTAAAATCAAAGTTATAATAATAATTTACATTTTTTATTAAGAATAGTTATTTAAAGTGACAATTGAGATGGAAAAAATGTACAAAATGATGTAAAAATAAACTGTTATAAAATAAAAAATATATATATAACAATAAAAAATTCAAAAAAAAAGTTATTTAAAGTGGGTTGTAAGTACATATTCACATTTTTGATGTGATGGAGAGTGGGACCTCCATTAATAAATCCTGTGTTCTTTGCCTCAGCCTGTAAACTCCAGACAACTATTTGTAAAATGAAAATAATTTTTTGCCTGTCTATGCACCGAATTTTTTTCTGGAAAAAAAATTATTTTTGCTTCATTTATCCTCATTTGACTACTGCTCAAACACTTCACTGGAAGGAGGTAGGTTTCCCCTTAGAACTGTTCCTGGCTATTGCACCCTGCCAGGGACAGTCTGCAACAAAAGGTAGCTATATTAGAACTCTTTAACTATATCAATTTTACTTTACATTACCTTAGGGTTTATCTGTACAGCCTCTTCATTATAATGAAGGAGAACTTTCTGACCTGAATGGGTAAGGTTCACAAACACCTGAAGGCATGGGTACTTGCCCTGACCTCTGCAGTCCACCCCACAGGTGAAGGCACAGGCCATCCAATGATCCGTGATTTGTGTGTGGATGATAGTGCAATTTGATTCTTCTCGCTGAGTGCTTCAATTGGAAAAAATGAATGAAAATTTAGTTCTATATTTCTAACTTGGAAATCCAAAGCTTTTGTCTATATCAAAGTGAAACAAGACCATTACTGAAAGCACATATTGACTAAAGAGCTCAAGGACATTAAGATAGGAATAACCAGCAGTAAACCCCCAAGTTCCCTCTCCAATCTTAACAGAAAAACTCAGTGGTTCTCAAATTGTATATCCACGAGGGTTCTTTCCAATGAATTTTTTAAACTGTGGATTCTATGTCTTAGCTCCCAGATATTTGGTTCCAGTGATCTGAGCTGAAGCTCAGGAATCCATGTATTTAACAGTATTTAAGATGCAAGTATCTGGATAACCACACTCTAAACTGTACTCACTTAAATACTCAACCAAGATTCATACACACTCAGAAATCTCTCTTATGCCTCATCATCTCAAGATGCACCCACTGGCTATTGAAAAGTACCTTTGGAAGGAGTCCAACTGTTAAGGAGAAGGATGTCCTATAAAGGAACTCTGCAGAGTCTTGTGGATTCCATCCCCTACTCCAGCTTTCTGGACTCCACTCCCTCCAGTGATTGGAAATTACAACTCCCGGCAATACTAGGGAGAGAACTGCAGGGACCCAAGGGCAGAGCTAAGCAGGCATTCTGGGACATTGGGGGATAAATAGGGCACCATTGCGTCTCTCACTATCTTACTTGGGAAACGGCTCTCTAGACCACTTGACTTGGGGCTTTCAGTTAGTTTGTTACCAGGGCTCCAAGTCAGCCCAGCCAGTACGACATTCCAGTTGTTTCTTTTTCTTTTCCTCTTTTGTAAATAAACCCATTATTGACCCTTTTGTGTGTGCCTGCAGTACAACTAAATTGTAAGCACGCGGGTGAGGCCCCAAGACGGGTGGCCCAGTTCACATTGGGGTTCCCTGTAACACAATCACAGCATCCTTTAGTCAAGGTAGGGTACAGAAGTTAGAGAAACAAGGTACAAGTCTATATGCCCACTCTCCTTCCAAAGAGACTCTCCTTCCCAAGGAGTTGCTCATTAGAAAACCTATCATGTTTTTGCTATTGATAAGTTCCCTGAGGTCTTCCTTGAGGTCCTCTGGATTCACCCCGTGTCACAGGATCCACTGAGCCCAGTGGCTGTTGGAACTCTTAGTTTATCCTGACATCATCCTCCCCCACCACCAGCAAAATAAATTTCGAAATTAATTTAAAATAAACATTTTTTAAAACATCTTAGATCTGTTTATTTGTGATAGAAATTAAGCTCTCTAAAGCCTAACCAAGTGTGGCACTGAGTATGGTTTAAATCTGGTAGATTTCAGAAAGTCCGTACATAGAGTAAGACTTTTTCTTGTGCACAAGGAATATACAAGAGCTTTAACAGTGGTACCAAGAATAGGGTTAAAAAAAATTGAGCATTTTATGTCCACTTATCGACAAGTACACAAAATCTATTATCTTTTGAGAGATGAGCGTTAAATGGAATGGCATAGGTCTGAGCTACCCAAGCCTCCAAAGTATGTCTTTCTGTGGAGAAGACTATTCTCCGAGATAGCACAGAAGTGTGGTGGGAGCACTATGGACTATTATAAGGAACTATAGGTGACTTGGTGGTGGGTGTGGTGTGGTCACATTCATCTGAACATTTGTGATCCTATACACATGAATCATACAATGTTGTAAGTCAACATTAATTAATTTTTAAAAAATCATAAGGTGAGATGAAAATTTATGACTTAAGCATTCACTTAGCTGCTTCAAAAACACTTAGAAATGTTAAATGTTTAATATAAGTAAGTTTTGTGACAGATTGCAGAAGTTATCTTCAAACCATCTCCTGACAGATATTTATGAGGCCCAGACCACAAACAACCCTGAGCTTCCTCATAACCAAAACAATGAAGAAAACACAGTGAATTAAGGTACCAGGTTTCACTGAATGAAGTTGGCTGATTAGGAGCAGAACAAATTTCTCTAATATCAAAGAGAAAATTCCCTGGGATTCTTCTACTAGTGGGCCTGTATGCTGTAGTGATGGTGACATTCACATCATTGTCCTAACAATGGTAACTCAGGAATGGCAGGAGATGAATCTGATGAATAAAAGTTGACACCTACCCGGGCCCTCCCTGGTGGCGCAGCGGGTTAAAGCACAGCATTGAGAAGCTAAAGCCACTTCCACATGAGTTCGATTCCCGCCTGCCCCAGAGGTGACCACATGGCGTGGCAGACCTCTCCTGACCCGCCCGCTGCTCCCCTCAGCAGTGTGCTTCGTCAGTCTGCCTGTTCTGCTCCCCACTCTGTCTCTGGTGAAGCCTCTCGCCACCCCTGAGCCTCTGGTCTGTACCCCAGTTCTGTATGCATAAATAAATAAATCTTTAAAAAAAAAAAAGTTGACACCTACCCCTTTTCCCCAGTTCATGTCTTTCAGTTTCTTCCTCCCCTTCTTCCTTCAGCTTCCTTTTTCCCATTCCTTGAGGGAATGGATCTGTTGTTCTTTGGCTAGTGATAGGGAAAGCATCCCTTGCTTACCACTTACCAAGTATTGCCCTCCTACAAAGTACCTCAGTCAGTGTGTGAGCCATTCTCCAAAATTAAACCATTTATCTTCCTGACCTAATCAAAACTCCAGTTCCTCTCATTACAGCAAGCTTCATTTAGAAGACAAAGCTTTATGTCAGAATGACAACTCACTTCTTCACTGGCTGTGTGACCTTGGGCAAGTTACTTGGTTTTTCTGAATCTCTACTTTCTTATTTATAAAATGAATGTTAAGGGCCCTTCTGGTGGCGCAGTGGGTTAAAGCACAGCACTAAGAAACTAAAGCCACTTCAGCATGAGTTCCACCCCAGAGGTGACCCTCATGGCACGGCAGACATCTCCTGACCAGCCCATTGCACTCCTCAGTAGTTTACTTCGTCAGTCAGCCTGTTCTGCTCCCCACTCTGTCTCTGGTGAATCCTCTCCCTGCACCTCTGGCCTGTACCCCAGTTCTGTATGCATAAATAAATAAATATTACAAAATAATAATAATAAAATGAATGTTAAAATAATGCTCCCATCATGAGTTTGCTATAGATTTAAACATGTTTATATTTAAATATTTAATAAGTTACTGTTAATGCATACATTTAAAAAGGAGTTTATGCAAAGAAAGGGAAGGAAACTAACACTATTTGAGCAAATATCATGTGCCAGATAGACAATGTTAAACTCAAAACATTTTTTAAACAAAAAACTTTTGGTGTGCTATGTAGAAAGCTTAAATTAGCCCTTCCTTGGGTTATTTGCATGCTCAAGGGAGAATATTTATTTAAATGAATATCTAATTGGCAGATTAGTTGTTAAAAATAGTTTTGATAATAGAATAGGGGTCGCAAAAAAGAAGAGCTCCCACTTTCTTACACCTTTTCCTCCACACACTGCTACTCCACCTTTTCCTCCACACACTGAAGAGGAAACAGGTGGGTCTCTCTTCTCTGTCCTAAACAAAGGTCAGGGGGGCTAGGAAACTCAAGCCAGCTTCACCTCCTCTACCTTGTGCCTGGTTCCAATCGGAATTGGGAAATCTGGGTCTCCTTTCTCTGTTCCTTACCTGAGTATAAAAGGCTTTAGGATGGTTATTCCAAGCAGGAAGAACATTAGGACTGAGAAGCCCATCATAGCAAACCCTAGAAGCAGGGCGCGGTCCTCCCCAGCACTAGCTGACCACTTCCGGTGCACATCCAGCAGGTCGCCGCCATTTTGCTCTGTATTTCTCTTCTTCCCAGAAGAAAAGGCCGTCCTTTGGGGAAAGTGTAAAAGAGATATTTCAACAGGCTCATAAAGAAATGAGAGCATTTATCAATCCAGAGGCAGGCAAGGAGGTACAGTCCTACCTGCATTACCTGAATATTGTGAACAGGTGTGAGGCAACAGAGAAAGCCCACCTTCAGAGCTTGGTGACAAGTCCATCTAAACAAGATATGTGTTACTTTAAAAATTCTTTTAGGGCCCTCCCTAGTAGTGTAAGGGGTAAAAGTGTAGTACTATGAAGCTTTCTGCAGCCACTGCAGCACAAGTTCTATCCCCAACCAGGGAGCTGACCCACATGATGCAGCAGAACCCTCCTGACCTGCTGGCTGTTCCCCTCAGCAGTGTATTTCAATTGATCTGCCTGCTCTGTTCCCCACTCTGCCTCTGGTGAATTGGCTCACCTCCCACAGCTCTTGTATGCATAAAAAAATCTTTAAAATAGATAAATAAATAAAAATTATTTTTAATATAACAAATAATACTAAGTAATATTGCCAGGTAGAAGTCTTTGAGATCTATTTAAACAACAGTTCAATTATTTTATTTTTATTTTTAAATAAGTACCGTGAGATTATATATCTTCCAGGGACACTTCACAGTCCTGCTGGAATTATTTTTTACATTCTTTTATGAATACCATATGGACAAAGTGACTCAAAAGATTCACATTGGTAAGTCACAGCTCCTGAAATAGTGAGATTTGACTTGTTCATTCACATCCAACATAGCTGCCATAGGGCTTCCTGGCCCACCACCTACCAGGCTCATATTAACCAGGGCTTCACCACTGTCTCCTCTGTTTTCACCTCACTTTTCCTCCTCTCTGTCCACTCACTGCCCTGCATAAGTGGCCCTACATTTCTTTTCTCCCTCTCTCTGCTCCATTTCAACAAAGGATGTGATAAATTCTTTGACAATGGGGGAATCAAGGGGACAGTAAAGTCCAACATGAAAATAACAAGCCAGTGACAAAATCTAGGCCATGGTGTGTTTTGTTTGGCTTTGTTTGACCTTTTATGTATTTGTTTTTTTGGTTTTTGGGGGGTTTTTTTGTTTGGTTTTTTGGTTTTTTTTTTTTAGTTTCTAACTCTTTAAAAACCATTAAATTTATTATAAAAATGTTCATTTCTGATTAAAAAAAAATCACAAGTGCCACATTCCTGCATTTGAACAGCTGGTCAGACCAAGCAGCAGCTACCCCTGGGGGCATGAGTCTTTTCCAGTTCACCCTAGATCCATCCCTTCCTATGGTCAACATCACTAATTTGCTGTTCTCTACTCAGTATGCTTTTGAGTCCCAGAGCTATATCCATTTTAAGTGACTTAACAAAATCTTAACCCAAAGAAATGCAGTGCTACTGGTAGAAGGCTCCATCAAACTGCATAGAGCTTACTATATCTTGAAGTGAAACAAAAACCCCATCAAAGAAATTGCTATCTGTTTTTTAAAAAAGTATTTTATACTTCATCCATGTCCTTATTGCTTCTTTGCCTAGTTCCTTTGCTCCCTCTCGCCCTAGCAACATTTTCAGACTCCAAAGGAACTGAAGAGTATCACATTCAATCCAGGGTGTTCCAAGAACCCCACATTGGGGAAAAATGATCTCAGGAAATGACTGTCACTGCAGTTAATGTGACTTTTGATATCAAGGACCTGGCTTGGGGATTTTTACTTTCCTCTGATACTGTACTTATCCTCTAACATCCCTTTCTCAGAGAAGCAGGGAAAAACTTTAAATGACATTATAGCCATTTTATAATTGATCAACAACTATGATTGATTGATGAAGAGTTTTAGACATGAGGTAAAAATTTGGCTCTTTGTGGGCTTCCAATGCCCAACTCCCTGAAATTGGATTTTAGTTGCCTTTATATTGTAAGGTGTTCTGGATATCCATGAAATCCATGGTGGAAGAGGTTTATTATGTGACCTCTTCAGCATTTCTAGCATATTCACTCAGCATATTCAGCTGTAGTTGTAGGATATGCAAAACTGACATAACCTGATTCTAACCTAATTTAGAAAGAAGACAAACCAGGCCATTATTTTCTCTTTCTGATATTTCTGTCAATTTTATTTCCAGACCTTCTGAAAAGTTGACCCCCTCAGACAGCCTTCATGAAAAAGTTATTTCATGGTGGGTGGGGAGGAATATAAACAATCAAAAAAATGAATAGATGCATCTTATTATTGCAATGCTAATAGGCTTCTGTTGCACTGCATGTGAATGAACATTCATTCTAAGTGCAAACAACTAAGATTTCTAGTCAGGAACAAAACTATGTAAAAGTAGAAACCCAGAGAGGAAAGAAAAAAAATTACAATTTCCCTTGAGATTTCATAACCTTAAGGTGAACCCCAGGATAATTTGTAGCCTGAAGTCACTACATGGAAAATCCCAAAACCCCAAGCTGAAGATCTCACTTAATGTTATTGCAAGCAGATATTGCCCTCTGGCACCCGAGAAAAGCAAACATATAACATATCTGAAGGAGCGCTCCTCCAACCCAGACCTTAAGAGAATTCTATGTAGTTTCAAAGAGTATTACTCCATTCAGAAGTCATAAAAAGGGGGCTCCCTAGTGGCCAAGGAGTTAAGTCTCAGCATTATCACCGCTATGGCCTGAATTCTGTCCCCAGCCAGGAAGGTGACCCACATGGTTCAGAAGACTTCTCCTGTCTATCATGCTGTTCCCCTTAGTAGTGTATTTCAGTAGATCCAACTGTTCTGTTCCCTACTCTGTCTCTGCTGAATCCTCTCACACCCACCCACCTCCAACACTCTGGCCTATACCCTAGCTTTTCTATGCAAAAATAAGAAATAAAAATGTTTTTAAAAAAGAAATGTAAAAAGTCATAAAGCACACAATAAGTGTCTTTAAATAGGAGTAAAATGAGATCCATTAAATACCTCAGACATTTGACAGAATATAAAAATGATTTTGCAAAATATTTGAAGAAATAATAGAAAGATTGAATATATCAGAAAAAGCAAAAGACTAAAGTATTACTAAGCGAAATTTTTTAAAAATCCAACTGAATTTCTAGAAATGAAGAATACTGATAAAAACTGATGATAAAAACTGAAAGGACAGATTCAACAGTAGATTAGATACAACTGTAAAGACAACTGGTAAACAAAGAACTGGACATGTAAAATAACCAAAGAATGATACATAGAGATTTCCTTAATAGAAAATACCAGGGAGTTCAAAAAACCTGGACAATGGAAAAAAGTGCTTTAAAATGCCTATTTAGATTCAAAATTAAAAGAAAAAAAAAAGGGAGGCCCTCCCTGGTGGCGCAGCGGGTTAAAACACAGCACTGAGAAGCTAAAGCCACTTCCGCTTGAGTTAGATTCCCCCCTGCCCCGGAGGTGACCACATGACATGGCAGACCTCTCCTGACCCGCCCGCCCGCTGCTCCCCTCAGCAGTGTACTTCGTCGACCTGCCTGTTCTGCTCCCCACTCTGTCTCTGGTGAAGCCTCTTGCAGCCCCTGAGCCTCTGGCCTGTACCCAAGTTCTGTATGCACAAATAAATAAATCTTTTCAAAAAAAAAAAAAAAGAAGGAAAGAAAGAAAAGAAAAAGAAAAAAAGGGAAATATTACAGGCAATGTTTTTTAAAAAATAATTATTTTCCAGATTTAATGAAAAATTCAGTCCAGATTCCAGGAGCCGAGGGGAGTAAAACTGTAAATCCAATTAGGTAAGAGGGCAGAGTAAAAATGCCAGGTTCACCTCCTCCATACAATAATAAAAATAAAAAAGATAGCAGCAGAAAAAAGTCTAAATAACCCCTAAAGGAAAAATGGACAATTACAGTACAGGCCAGTAACAATGGTCCAGAAGAACAGGATAGAAAGAATTTAAGCAAAATGTTTATAATGATACTGAGTCAGGGCAACTCATGAGAAAGAGAGGGAGGTGGCGATGCAAAGAACTCACTACAGTTGCTGACTCACCGTACACACCAACATCAGAATTTACAGACCTGGTACTGCACTGGAATAAGGGGTACATAGAACATCAGTGGACTTTTCAGTAGTAACCTGACAATCAAGAAGAGAATGGCGAGCAATATATAAGAACTTAAAGAAAAAGATTCCTAATGTAGAAGCCCTTAGCCTATAAAATTAACATTAAAAAATAGAAGTAAAAATATGAAATGCCGGCCCTCCCTGGTGGCGCAGTGGGTTTAAAGCACTGTATTAAGAAGCTTAAGCCACTTCTGCATGAGTTCAATCCCCGCCTGCCCCGAAGGAGGTCCACATGGCACCGCCCGCTGCTCCCCTCAGCAGTGTACTTCGTCGATCTGCCGGTTCTGTTCCCCCCTCTGTCCCTGGTGAACCCTCTCACCCTCTGCATCTCTGGCCTGTACCCCAATTCTGTATGAATAAATAAATAAAAATCTTTAAAAAAAATGAAATGTCACTGAAAAGCAAAATTGCAGGGATTTATCAACCCACACATGAAAACAAAACTGTAGGACCAGACAGCTTTGAATTTTGTCAGTCCTCTGAACAAGAACTAATACCATCTTGCCCAATTTGTTTTTAAAATACAAGAGTGAATGTTCCCAAATACATTTCAGAATGCTGACATTACCCTGATGCTGAAATCAAATAACAGGACATGAACAGAAAATTATAGCTCAGTAACCCTATGAACATCAACGCAAAAAAATATACAAAATAATAAATTTAATTCAACAGTATTTTACAAGAATTATATGCCAACTGGGATTTATCCCAGGAGTGCAAGAATGGTTTCAAATACATAAATGAATCAATGTAATACATGATATAAACAAAAGTAAAGATTAAATAATAACATAATGTCAATAAATACTGAGAAAGTATTGATAAAATTTGGCACTCATTTAGTATGCAAAGATTCTAAAAAAGAAATTTATCTCAGTATAATAAAGATTACATATTACAATAACCAATATAATCCTTAATGATTAAAAAAAAAAGATTAAAAGCT